CTTGAACTCACAGAGATCCCACATGGATTTCTGTCTCTGGAATGCTAGGACTAAAGGCGTGTGCTATCACTGCCTAACTAGTGGCTTTTCTGTTCTCTGACCCCAGATAAGTTTATTAAGGTACACAATATTTTGGGGAACACAATACCACCACAGGTGGGGGTACAAATGAACATTTGTCACTCAGGAAACAGTCTTTCAGTGACTTCTGTTCAGAAAAGAACAAAGGATACGCCCATGAAAGAGGTTAATCTAGTCAAGAAAGAAAAGATAACAGATCATAAAGTCTAAGTGTCCAAGAGATAGGATTCACAAATGCATACTATAGAATTTCAAATGTCGGGGTGAAACTCAACCTTATCGGGAAGGTATCGTTCACATTTTTTTACAGGAAGAAATTGGGACAAGGTAGAAAGAAATTAAGATTGACACAGGAACGAGAAGGCGGGTTTAAAGGACAGTGGCGGAAAAACAGTTTGGACAAAGGCGCCTTTGCCATAATGGTTACGAACCTGGAAAGCCAAGGAGAGACGTCAATTTTGAAGAAGTCATCTTAAGAAGTCAGTTGTGGTGGGGTGGGACCAGAGAAATGGCCCAGCAGTTAAAGAAAGCTTCTGCTGCTCTTGCAGAGAACCAGAGATCTTAGCACCAGCATTAGCTGGCCTCACAACTGCCAACATCTCCAGCACTAGTGAATCAGACACACTTGATCTGGCCTCCACACACATGTGCATATACACACAGCAAGAGGTGAATATATTCTGAAAGAATTTAGTTGGCAGGCCATTCTTATACAGCTATGAACACACATTCCCAGAAGTATACATTGTTAAACAATGTAAGAAAAGTACATACTGAGCCTAATACATTACATATGACAAATCACTGATCTTTCTCTTAAGAATTCGTTCTACAATTCTTGAATTAGAACATTCCCCGATATAACACTGATTTCCAATTACTAAGGTATACATCGCACAACATGAATCATTCTTGATTTTTTTTTTCTCTTTCTCGCCCAATTCCTCAATGGCTCATTACTTCAACATCAGCATCTGCAGGACACAGGAAATGACAACTGAAATGAAATCTACACAGATTGCATTAAGAGTGTATAGTCCTGATGTTCCAATTCCTATTGCTAATTGTCTTAATTAGGGTTTCTCTTTCTGTGAACAGACACCATGACCACAGCGACTCTTATAAAGGAAGATATTTAATTGAGGTGGCTTGCTTACAGTTCAGAGGTTCAGTCCCTAATCATCATGGTGGGATGTAGCAGTGTGCAAGCAAACATGTAGGTAACCAAGTAGACATGGTGCTGGAGAAGTAGCTGAGAAGTCCTACACCTTGCAGGCAATAGGAAGTAGCCTGAATGTCACCCTGAGCAAAGCTTGAGCAAAGGAGACCTCAAAGCCCATCCCCCACAGTCACACATTTCCTCCAACAAGGTCATGCCTACTCCAGCAAAGCCACACCTCCTAATAGTGCCACTCTCTATAGGCTTATGGGGACCAATTACAAACTACCACACTAACAGTTTGAATTTAAGGACATCATCTATCAGTTTACGGGCACAGTGGCTCATACATGCAGTCCCAACACTGGGGAGGCTGAGCAACAAGGATTTGCCAGGTGTTTGAAGTCTGAGTTAAAGTCTAAGACCCTGCTTCAATTTAAAACAACAACAAAGAAAAAAAAAAGGTAGAAACAAACAACAGCAAAAAGATCATTTAAGCTAGTCATTGAGGCCTGTTAGGTCCCAAGACATTCCTTGTCCCAAAGTCTGGCATTTAGATAAAAGCCAGCACTCCCTGGGGACTAAGATAGTTCCTCCTTGCTAAAAGGAGTCAATCTTATCTCTGGCAAAAGAGGCCAGGCATGGGGCTAATCCATTAACTCATGTTTGTAGTATTAGCTATCAAGGTCTATACCAGCCTCTAGGCTCCCTCGGTTCCTACTCACAAGTACCTGGGACAGAGTCATGGGGCTGGCATACCCCAGCCCCTGCCCTAAACCTGGCCAGCTCTCGACCTTCGCCTCTCTTCCCCAGCTTCTCTTTCAGACAGAACCTTGGCCATCCTGACTACTCGCTCTCTTGGCTCTTGGTTCTGCTCTAGACTCCTGGACCTCTTTCCTCTTTCGCTCTCCCCCTCTCTCTCCTCTCACGGCCCTATCTGTTCTGTGGACCATATTCATGTTCAGTCTGGACCCTTCTTGACGCCTCTGGCTGTTCTGTTCTCTCCCTCATAGCTACAACCAACTCTCCTCCTCAACCGTACCTTACAGCAGTTACGTCCTCATCATCATCCAACCCCAGAACTCAGGAGGCTGAGGAAGAGCAATTGCCAATTCAAAGTAGGCCTAGGCTACAAAGCTAGACCCAGTCTTACAGCTTTCCCCACCAAACAGACCATTTAAAAAAGTAAATTAAATAAGACACTTAATTTACCATACAAGTTCTATATTAGGGGTTCAACAGGTGGAGAGTTCAACAACTGCAATACCAGGGCTTAAAAACTTGTGTTTTGCAATCTCCGAAGTTGTATGCAACTCTAAATTGCTATCATCTTGTTATTTGAGAATATTACTAAATACAGCCTGCATACTTTATCTCATTAGAAAAGAAATACCCAAAGAGAGATATCCAGCATACTCTGGAATAAGTAACAACCGAAGAACAACTGAAATCCATTTGCAAGTCTCCAAGAAGTCATGTGTGACACAGAAAAATCAAAGCATTCTACTAACTCTAATTAGCGTGGTTGGAAATCAAATCTGAATACAAAAGATGAGAAATGTAACCACCTATGGGCTAAAAGCATAAAAGTGGAGAACTCTGAACTCAGTTTACTAGGCCACATTTAATTGTGTTCTAACTGAAATTAGACTTGTTTACGGTGATGTTGCTTGGTAACAGAAGCACAGCGTTTATACCTCCTCAGTTCTTTAGACCTCAGCTGAGTACTTTATACTCTGAAGTATTACGAATTCGTCACATATTAAAAAGTTCAGAACAAATTTATCCTTATCCTAGACATCTTTGAGGAGGAAGTGGCCTGGTAATTAGGTGACCAAAGACTTAAAATGCTAGATAAAGGCCACGTATCCTTTCATTAGAGTCAGAAACTGGACTAAGGATTTGACAAAGTTATCAAGCCCAAAACACACTTCACGTATTTCAGACCTGACCCCAGCAACATCCAAGGATCAAGCCCAGAACATACTTAAGCATATTTCAGACCTTACCTCAGCAAACATCACTGCCACAGCTGTCTTAAAGGACAAGGAAGATGACAGCCTAGCCTTTCCACCACGAATTAAACCGGGGAGGCGCTTCCTATGAAGCCAACTACCCGGCTGGCTACCATGCCGCAGTGCACCAAGGAGCTCCGGTAAGGAGTTTCACGTGCTTCCAAAAACTGCAATCAGAACTCATCTCACCGCCCGCCTTCCCGACACGCGCGCTTCCACTGCTTTACCAGGAAGCCAAACCGGGGTTCAAGGGCGGGAATGGAGGAGGAGGGTTGCAGGGTTCCAACCTGCATGCCTCCCCCCAAAAAAAGAGAGAGGTCACTTACCAAACTCATACACCGTCCTTGCAGCTCGCCCCCCCGGGGGACCCCGGCACAGCTCCGACCACCGCCACCCACTCCGCTCTGCTCGCCCAGGCATGGGGGCCGAGGGGGTCCGGTGCCCCCACGCTGGGGTGTCTGCCCAGCCGGCCACGCCTGGCGCGGTTTCGCGCCGCGCGCGGGCTGCAGAGGAGCCGGCGAGCCGGGCCGGGCGATC